AGCTAAATATTATTTTTTAGTAAATAAATATTTTATATATTATTATTGTTAATAGAATTTTAAATCAATATATAATATTAGTTAAATATTTTAAAATAAGCTATTTTTAAGTAATTATATAATAATTATATATTATTTTTACATATTATATATTTTTATAAATAATATTTAAAGATTTCTTTATTAGATTAGAAATTAAAAGTAAAAGATTAAAAAATAAATAAATTAATTAATGTTAAATAAAATATTATATTATTTTAAATATATAAAAGTATTTTTATCGTAATATTGCTATTTTAATATTATTATATATTAAGTTTATTTTACATTTACTTAAAATAAGTATTATTAATTTTAAAATCAACAAATATTTAATAAATTATTATTTGAAATAAAAATAACTATTAAAAAATTATCAAAAATAATTAAGAATTTTAATAAAATTACATTAATATTTATAAGCAACAATTAATTAAATTTAATAATATATTTTTATTTATTTAGAGTAAAATAAAAGATAATATATATCTATATATTATAAAATTTTTTCAGTCATGTGATTATTGCATTTCTTTATCTGTTTACATAATCTTTAATTAATAAAATCTCTGATTTTGAAAAGTTTCAAGATCATTTTGAATTCAATAATAGTTTTTATTTTCTAATTATACTTTTTTATATCTAATATTAATAATAAAAATAATTTAAATAATTTTTATATATATAATATAATCTAAATAATTTTATATTATTTATTTAAGTTAAATATAAATGTAATATATATTTTATCAGATTCTTTTAGCAGCTAATAAATTTTATGATAAAATTAAATAAAGAATGTAGAGAATTTAGTTGTATATAAAAAATTAAGAATACTATATAATTTATAATTTGACTTTAATAATTCTTCTATAATATATAAATGATTTTTTACTAAAAGGTTAAAATAATATATCAGAGGAAGGGAGAGAATAAAAGTATTGCATGATCAAATTTTATCAATTTATTTTATTTTTTAATAAGATCGTATATTTTATTTTTATATATTACATTTATTAAGATCTAATATTAGTATATTCACTTTTGGTAATGATTACTATCTAAATTCTATTTAGTATTAATCATATTAAATCATAATACACTTTAGCAAAATTGCATTTCATGTTTCTTTTACTGCTATTTCAAGTTCACGAATATTTGACAGTTGAGAATTGTGACTTCAAATTTTTACTTTAACTACAGCTCACATGTTTTCAATCAGGTTTAGATTAGGATTTTAAGTAAACCATAAAAGTACCTCCATATTTTGAAAAAGTAAAAACTTTCTTGCAACTTTTAACGTATAAACTAGTGCATTATCCTCTTAAAAAATAAATTTTTTTTGTTTATCAGAAAAATTTCTTGAGTGTAAGAACTGTATAATTGCTAAGTACTTCTTTATATAATTTTCCAGTTACTGAACCTTCAAGCGGAACAATTAGACCTAATCTTAAAAGAGAAAAGCATATCTAAAACATTTTTTGAGAAAAATGTTTTACTATCAATGTAATGCAATTTTCATGAAATTCTTCTTCTGATTTTTATCATACTCATTCTCATCCAAATTTTTGAAACTAGAAAAAAGTGGACTCATTTGTCTAGACCACTTTTTTCTAGTCTCTACGATCTAATGTCTTCTTCTATTGCCTATACAAGCCTTTTAGTTTTATTTATTACTAAAATGAAAGGTTTTTTTTGAGAAATACAAGAATGTATATTATTCTTATAAAGTATATAATAAATTATTCTTGCAGAAATTAGTTTATTGATTTTAGCAAAAATTATATTTGTAATTTCTGCTAAATTTTTTCATTATAATTTCTTTTTTTTAAGAATGATAGTCTTTAATCTTTTTCTTTTTTGGCTGTCAAGGATGCAGAGTTAACCTGATTATTTTTTGGAAGTTTCTCCTGATTTATAAGCTATAAAAAAGTGTGTAATAGTTGTATAATGATAACCTATAGTTTTTGCAATTATTGTATTATTGTGATCTAATTTTTTAGCTGTAATGATGCCTCCTTTTTGGGCAGAAATGAGATTTTTAACAAAACCTATAATATGTGCAAAATTGAAAATAAAGAGTTTTTAACCCTATTTTATGAATTGTAACACTTTAAATCAAAATAATAAACAAAGTTCCTGTTTAAGCAATTGATGACAAATATGTTATTAAAATTACATAAATGGTTATATATAAAAAATTATTTAATTATCCAAATTTTAACTGTACAATATTTTTATCTCTTTTCCTTCTGGTAACTTATTATTAAACTATTTTTAATAACTTTTACATAATTTTTTGTAAAAGAATATAAATGCTTTGCAGTAGAAAAGAAAAAAATTACTAAAAAAAATTTTTTGAGTTAACGTTAAATTTAGATTTATTTTACTAAAAAAAATAATATTTAGCTTAAATATTTTTTTAGTAATTTCTTTTCTTTTTACTGCAAAATATCCATAGGATTTTATGATTAATTTTATGAAAAATGTAAAACTAAATTTAATTTAGAAAAATTAAAAAAATGGTAAAATTAATAGCATTTTATTTTATAATACAAAAAAAAGTAATCAGATTATAATATTAAAAAGAATTATAATATATTTTTAATAATACTAATTTATATAAAGATGAAGCATTTAAAGAAAAATTAAATTATAAAACAAATAATGCAAAATTTAGATGATAAAAGTTTTGATAAAAATAATGTTTATTTAGATAGTATTATAAAGCTTGAATTTTTAAAAAGATCTAATAAATTTATTAAAGATTCAGATATTAATTAAACTGATAATTTTAAAATAAATTAGAAGAAAATTGATAAAGATTGGGATTTGGATTTAATAGTTGTAGTTTATTAAAACTTTTTAAACGTATTAGTTAAATAAAATTAATATTTATTAATTTAATATCAGAATTAAATTTTAGTATTTAAACTCACTTTCTTATAATAACTAGTACTTAAAAAAAAATTATTTTATAAATAAAGTTTAGCATAAAATATTACAATTTATTTTCTTCATTAAAAATACAATATTTAATTTTGTTAAATTTTATTCAAAATTTATTAGGTTTATCAGGTTGTAAAGTTTTGAAGGTTTAGAATTTTGCATCAAGTTTATTAAGTTTGAAAGTTTTATAAGAAATTAGATTTCACTTTCACCATAACATTAATTATTTTTTTTTGATGTATAAATTATTGAATCTGAAATCATTTTCTTTTTAATCATTATATGATGGCTCACAGAAAAAATGTTGGATTTAGATATATTATCATTGAAGATTTATCAGAAAATGAAAGAATACAATTTTATTAAATTTAAAATTTAAATTTTTAATTAAACACAATTTGTTCGAAATGAGATTGATCGATATTAATCAATCAAATCGTAAAGTTAGACGAGTCTGGGAAAAAACAGCACAAAGTGAAATGCAAAACATATAGGAAACAATGTCTAAGCCGACTTGGCAACATTAATAAAAAAATGCAAGAGTATGTTACGTTAAACATAAGCGTTTGTTTTGTTGTCGCGATCACATATCACGTGATTTGAACGATTGATTGGCGTCCGAAGGTATTTCCTAAATGTCACTTGGATTTCGGATAATATTCAGTTCATGCTTATTATTATTCTTTGTGAATAAAATGAATAATTAGAATTGGTGTAAATTGAAATCAGCGCATTTTATAAAGAAAAAAAAAATTGAGCCAGATCGTATTTCCGATTTTTTTTCCAGGGTAATTTCTGAATCTCCCGAATTAAAATATATATGTAACTTCTAATTTTTTTTGATTAGTAAAAGGGGTAAATTTTCTTGTCATTTGAAAAAATAATTACTACATACTGAGGAAGATGGCTCAGCGGGATTAATCAAATCATTTGCATTAAAAAATTTTATTATTGTCAATTATCCAAAGATTTTCAAATAATCAAAACTTTTTCATCCATTGGTGTTCCATTCATCAAAATAATAAAACATAATATAATAAATAAAATAAATAATACATAATAATGTAATTGCTAATATGATAATAAAATTTACGATCTGTCTAAGTGTGGTATGCAATTTAAAAGAGTTACAATTCCACGAGCATTCAAACTAATATGATACCCTTGCCATCGATCTATTTTTTTTACATGAAAATAATTACAAAGTTCATTACATGATAAGGATGAATGTTCTCTTATACCTTTTGGTCCATAGTCCCGTTCAAAGATTTTTTACATCGTATTCTTTCTTTTCTTTGTTCTTTATTAAAGCACTATAAAGATTAAGTCCTCCAGGACCTGCACCGAAAATAATAACTTTGGAATTTTTTGCGTGCCTTTTTTTTTTTTTTTTTTAAAAAAAAAAAAGAAAATCAAAGATTGTTAAAAATGATAACCCCCACGTTTGATTTCTTGACGAATTGAATGGACGAAAGGATATGCGAGGATTTTTATAAAAAAAAACAATGATACGCTTTGGATATTAACTATTGCCAAGAGACTTTACCAATAAAAGGTTTATTTAGCCAAACCTTTATCCTTTTATGGAAAAATTATTTAATTGGAGCGAATGTTTGATGACTTTACCACGCCATAAAATAAACGGAGTTTAAATTCTGTGTACATACAGCCAAATTGCTTGGTATTTCAGGTGAAACACAAAAATAGAATTAGTTTCATGAAAAACATTCTTAAAAATGAATAATTATTTTACTTGTATACTTGTATTGGAATGTTAATGATTATAATATCAAAATGACCTAATCAAGAATAGCTTGTCAAACTTGAATATGCATGCGGAATATTTTGATAATGATAATGAATTATACCCGGTATTCCTACCCTTAGATACTTAGATACCTATCTATATAAGGATAAGTATTTTGTAAAAAAAAAATTTACCACTACCTTTAAAAAAAAAAAATAAATAAATTTATCGACAAATATTAAAATAATTTTGATTTTCAACAAAAATGAGCCAACCAGACATTTCAACCATTATTATCATAGGAGCAGGACCAGGAGGATTATCTTTGGCCCAATCGATTCAAAAGAATCATAATTCACCTGAAAAGAAATTTAATATAAAAGTATTCGAGCGAGAGACAACACCTCAAGGTATTTATGATTGATCCTGAATATACAGTATCTAATCATCCAAAACTCATCAAAGTCAATTTTCAATAGAGCGATGGCAAGGGTGTTTCATCTCTTTAAATTCACAAGGCGTAAGATGGTTATTGAAATGTATCCCAGAATCGGTCACGAACCGTCTTCACGAAGCGATTCCAGATCCTATAATTGACCTTGAGACACAGAATATATATTTTTGTGATCATAAAGGCTCGCTTTTACTAAAATCACCTGCCTTTAAATTTAAAAATTTTCATGAATTTAGTAAATTGAAAAGTGAATTTACCGGTTTTTCAACTTATAGGGATAGATTAAGAGACTTATTGTTAGAAGGTATTGACGTACAATGGGGAAAGAAATGTATTGGATACGAAGAAGATGAGGAAGGAGTTTGTGCAATCTTTGAAGACGGATCTAGGGTTAAGGGTGATTTCTTGATTGGCGCAGATGGAATTAATTCTCCAAGTAATTTACCAAATCAATTATTATTTTTTTTTTTTCTTGGTTTCTTTTAATTCGTTGTTACGACAACTTTATTTATTTACCATGTCTCTAATTCTACGTATTTGTTAGTTCGCAAACAGAAAATTCCCGAGCTGAAGATGCATGATATTGGTATTACCGATTTTATCGTAGATGTCTTTCCCAAAAAAGGATTGGTGGATCGATTGAATGCGATTACCGGAAAATCTATCATGAAAGTAACAATTGGTACAAATGGAGATTGTATGGGATGTATATATCGTTATATTCCAGTCGATTACTCAGACTTAAATAATGAACCACGTTATCGAATGTCAATGGGATATTCATATCTAACCGAAAAAAATGGAGTTGATTATAAAGCTGACGACCTGCCAACGACTAAATTACCCAATGATGATGAAGTGTTGGATGAGATCAAAAGAAGAATTAAAGAACTTAGACCCGAAGGAGAACTAACATCAATCATGCTCGAGTTATGGGATTTAGTAAAAACGAGGAATGAAATTAATAAGGAACAAAAGTACCCTCATAAAGCACATTATCCGCTTATTAGTAGGCAATTAAAAGATCTCGATCCATTATCTGTTAAAGAATGGGAAACTACAAGAGTTACATTGATAGGTGATGCGGTTCACGCAATGAATCCATGGTTGGCATTAGGTACCAATAGTGCGATTGAAGATGCATTTTATCTTTCCGAGGCTTTTGGGAAATTGAATAAGGATAATTGGAAAGAAAACATCAACCATTATGAAAAAGAAATGAGAACTCGTACATCCAAGTATGTGATTATGTCAAGAAAAGCAATGTTACGTGATCATGAACACCATCATACCTTTATAGGAATCCTTTTTAGAAATTTTAGACTCAAGTTTTTAAGTAAAGTTATGAGTATCGTTGCTTGGTGGAAGGGTGATGAACATGATTAACCTTGGTAGTTCATATTGAAGATTCGATGATGAATAATCATTTGAATAATAGAATATTTACGTTTAAAAGTTATCGTATTATTAGAAAATCTCATTTAGAGAATTCATCCATATTACTTGATCATAATTTTAATAAGAGAAAACCTTTTTTTATTTTTATCTTTTTACTTTTTTGATTATTTAAAATGTCAATCTTCCAATAGTTGATGTCTTTATCAAATGAGTGGACCATTGTCAAATTGCTGAATTACCGAAATACGATGTTTTCGGTACTAGGTTTCTGACGACGGGATAAATATTTCATAACAATTGGTTAATATAAAATAATGGAACATATCTCCAGAATTTTTTTTTTTTTTTTTTTTTTGATGTAACCAATATATCTTTCTTTGATTGTTGCATAAAGCTTGATTGGTCAACTTCTATTTTTCACTCTTTTTGTACTTAGAAAGTATCTCGGGCTGTGTCAATAGCAGTCCAAATTTGTGTTAATTTCGGATAATGAATCCGAGATATCCTTAAATGCACTGCATATAGACAAACTTACAAAACGAAATAAAAAATATTCATATATCAATCAACCCATAATAGGATTTGAAACGTGAAGATTTTTTATTATTCAACAAAAAAAAGGAAAGTGATTTTAAATCATTTTTATCATTTGAGATTAAAAAATGATGTCATGGGTGACGGATGAATTTCGCACCTAACAAATAAAATTTGTACACGACGAATTCGATTCGATGATTTTTATTATGAACGAATAAAAAAGATTATTTGGTTCATTTTTTTTTTTTTTTTTTTTTTTTTTTGATATCCAATTCGATTTAATGGGCATAAAATAATTCACATTTAACGGACGATCGAAGTATTGTCTCTCAAATCCGATATGAATAGGCGTAAATACATTACTAGAAATATTTCGACAAATTTTTGCCGACAACGATTAGGCGTCAGATTTAAAGAAGTTTTGTGACGAACAAAGATGCATGAAAAAGCCATTTAAGATTATTGGATACGAAAATAAATAGATTCTTAAAATAGACTCGTATAGAAAATTTTTTTTTAGGAATTGAATCTTTAATGAAAGCCCTTTTTATTTAAAAAAAAATAAAATAAAAAAATAAAACACGAACGCGAACATTATTGTTCAGGCAAACAAACCTCATTGCACATAAACGATCGTTTGATATAGTAATATGTTCTTGTACAAAGAAGGAGCAAATAGAAAAAAAAAAAAAAAAAAAAAAAAAAAAAAAGATCACAAATTTATAGTGACAGTTAATAAATGTTGACATTATGTAATATAACGCGACAATTTTATAATAGGATAACATATTCGGAAAATCAGAGAGATCCATCACATCTTGAATATCTAATTTTAAAATAAATACTTCACCGCGTTAAAATTGTAAAATGAATAATTTGATTAATAAATAAAATGTTGATTATAATAAAATCCTCATTTGACGCGAAATTAGCGGCTGAAATCTGTTTGGAGGTCACGATACCTTTTTATTTATTCATACCTTTTTTTTTTGGTCTAAAAAAGTCGCGAGTCAATCGAAATAGTCCGAAATTTTTTTTTATAAAAGGTCTTGGATTTGTTAGCGATTATTCCTCATCAATTTTGTTTAGTTATGAATTACAAAAATACTAAGATGTTACGTTATCACTCATCATTCGTTATGAATTCCTCGAATAATTATCCTCCATATATTACCCAAATCGATGGAATATATCTACTCAACATCCCACAGTTCTTGATATTTGAATATCCTCTCCCCCCAACATCCTCACAAATTTTCAACGCATACAAGAAATTTGGTAATTTCAATATTTTTCGAACATTTCTTCAGAATGCTTTAGTAAATATTGATACAACTAGTGCTTCTATAATGGCATCTTTTGCTTGGAGAACTGCAAGAGAAGACTTCAAGACATTCTTTAAAGATTATGCTAACAGTGTAAAGCGCGAAGTTAATGCTCGAAAAAACGTATTTCGATTTAAACCATATGATTGTACGAAATCATCACGAAAACAAGCAAAGTCGCGTCGAAATAAAAATTCAGATGATGTCGGATTGAACCAGGAACAATTTACAGGATGGGTATTTGGGGAAGAACTAAAAACATTTCAATTTATTAACTAAACAAACTTGTTCATTAAGATTTTTTTTTTATTTAAGATTAAAAAAATAAGATTTACTCTCCCTCCCACATTTTTTTCTTTTTTTTTTAAAAAAAAAATATTAAGAGATTAAGTTCTTAAATATTCGGTGTTTCGCTTATAATATTAATATGTAAGGTTTACTCTCTGTATATATAAGAATATAGTTCAAATAAAAAATAATTTCAAGGGGAAACATAAACGTTTACATCAGAAAAACTTTTTATTTTTTTTTTTCATTGCAATACCTAAATTATCAAAAAGAGACATATGACAATTTTTGCATCTTGGCACGCTTTTTTAAAATGTCAAGCTAATCATCGTACCCATTAATGAAATTTCGTTACCATTAAAACAAAGGTGACCGGATCGGGCCATTCTTTGACGGGAATTTCGATTATTTTATTAAATTAAAAGTATAAACTTTTGACGATCATTTTAAAAAGTATTAATAATCAAATATGACGTTTTCCTTATTATTTTTGACGGAAATGTTCGTTATTTAATCTAAATTGAAATATAATAGGTCCATAAATGAATCATAATGAATTGTATCACAAGAATTTTTTTTTTTTTTTTGCTTGCTTTGCTTACATTACAGCCTTTACGAGATGATTAAAGAGGAAAATACTTTGAAATAGATCCATAATTGGGATAAAAAGTTATAAGAGTTGTTCACAGCCTCATGCATTAACTTGATATTAAAACGTATCGAAAAAAAAAAAATTTTTTTTTTCGAATGCATTATTTTATGTCGAAAAATTAAAAATAGGCTGAGTTTGCATATTCTTTTTGACATTTTTTTTGACAGGTGTGTGTTTGTACGACACGGCATACGTCATTTATGTCGGAACTATAAATGCGTCATATCATATGATTATCAAATAATAGAATTATTAAGGTAGAATATAAGCCTACCTTTGGGAATATAATGATTGATAACATAACAAGAAATCAAAAAAGAGGATGATTAGGCGTATTTGATAGTTTTAAATGTACAACGATTTGATTAACCGAGAAATAACGCGCGAATCGCGGTTGCAAATAATGATTTATTGTAACCATTTGCAATCGAAATCTCATCCATCGAAAAACTAGAAAAGAACAATCATTGCATCAATTTATCCTAAAGAGAAATAAATAATGAACTCTAAACATTCGCCAAGATAGTAGTTGAAAGCGTCAGGGCCATTAATAGAAATGTTTTATTCACCCTTAAAAAAAAAAAAAAACTGAGATTAATAGATTAGCTGCTTATTAAGTAAAATGAAAAGTGAACCATAGAATGTTCCCTTTTATTTGGGCTACAATAACGAATCGGAGTAAGGATGATGATTGTAATGCATTTTGACGTGTTTTATGATATCGACGATGAATTGACCATGGATCTTTTAACACTATTTTTGATCGAAATAAAGTCAACACATGACACAATATTTCCTTTCTCTCTTTTTTTTTTTTTTTTTTCTTTTGTATTACTTTTACTTTACTTTGGATCCTTCTTTTTTTAGTCGTATAAAACGAAATAAATCATCATTAACAAGAACATATCGGATAGAAATACTTTTTCTAAATCTTAAATCATTATAAAAAGCCTTCAAATTTTGGTCAATGTTTGGGATCTCTCAATTAAATTCGTAATATCTTTCTATATTCTTCACTTCGTTTAATCTTTCAATAATGATAACTATAACAGAAAGAAACGGTCAATTGTTCATCACCATCCCTCGGTTGTATGCAATTGAACTACCTCTCGAGCCGATCGATTCAGTAGTTTATGAAGGCTATGGCACCATTAATAATTTTTGGCTTTTTCGTAACGTATGTGAAAAACGCCTAAAACAACTCAAATTAACCTGTCAAGATGTTTCGAAATTTGCTAGTTGTTTGTGGAAAGACGTTCCTAATCACGTTAAGATCACCTTAAAAGAATATAGTAAAAAGATCGCGAAAGCGAAACCAAAAACGTTAAAATTTAAGCCATACGATCATTCAAAATCATCAAAATGTCGACCACCAAAGAAAATTAAGAACAAGCCAATTGAAACGAATTCCGTTGAGTTCGCTGTGATCACTACTATGCTTTTAAAAAGGCACGCTGACGATCTATGGATTCATCAAGAAAATCAAACGGGTGAATACTTTCAAGAAAAGTTAAATGAATTGTTGGAATAAAAAAAAAAAAAAAAAAAAAAAAAAAAAAAAAAAAAAAAAAAAAAAAAAAAAAAAAAAAAAAAAAAAAAAAAAAAACAAAAAAAACAAAAAAAAGAATGCAGTTTTAAGATAAAATTAAGATTTTTATTTATAAATACAGAGAAACCATTATAAGCGAAACACAAAACTTTTTCTTTTTTATTTTTATTTATTCCCCTTAAATAAGATGTCAAATATGTTTTTGTAAGCATTTTTTTCGTTAATTTCTTTGATGTTGATCATTTAGTCAGTTGCATTATTAAATATTAATATAGTAACTCATCAAAGAACTGTATTTCTCCTTTTAAAAATTTGCGCGGAATCAATAGAACTAATTTTTTCGACTCAAAACCGTATCGGGTATTAAATTTTAAAATACTATCGTTTCATAATTAAATTAATTAATTTACTTTTCCTTATTTCTCTCGTTATATTTTTTTTTTTTTTTTTTTTGTTAAATATTATGATTTTTTTTTTTGTAAAGTCTATCGGATGAACTTTCGTATCAATTTTCCTTTTAGGAGAAAATCGGTGACACAAACCAGTCATATTCACCATAATAAAATGAATTTTTTTCCCATTTCGTTTAGCGTTATTTTATACGTTTTTTTAAGTTTTTTATTGAATTTTTGAATATTTGATGCATTTAATGCGTAACAATCGATTTAGACATGAGAAAAACACATTCAGATAATCAGAATCTTTTCGAATGTAATGCTTTTTTTTTCTTTTTTTCTTTTTCTTTTTTTCTTGATTAAAATAAAAATAAAAAGTATACAAGGGATGAACAAGGAGGCTTGAATAAATGTAATTGGAAAAAGAATAAAAAATCCCCCCCCCCCCACAAACAAGTGAATTTGAAAAAAAAAAAAAAAAAAAAAATTAAATAATACAAAAACCGATTTATAATTCGGTATGTTATGTAATGATGGTTAAAAATTGTAAAAAATTAATGAGAAAAATGATAAGGTTGATGAAAAGATGAGAAAAACAAATGAAAATAGTTATTTCTAAATGGGTTGTTGTTTGAAATATCTAAATACAATAACTTAAAATACGTCTGAACAAATAAATTAAAATTGGATAAATAATAAATAAATAAAAATATTCAAAATGAACTACATTTTAAAAAAAATTTTTTTTTCTTTTTAAAGAAATACAAATCCTAAAATACAATATACAATTATTAAATCACATTTTCATTAAAGGCTTGAAGTAAACAAACCCCTTTTTATTTACTATAGTACTTTTACTTTTTTTTCCCTTGTGGATGCCTAGATTGCATTATTCCGGATACCAATCTTCAGCATCCACAAATTCTTCGTCGTCATCATCATCATCATCATCATCACCACCATCATCAACATCATAATAATAATATTCATCATATTCATTATTTATTAGTACTGTAGGTATGCCTCCAGCTTTTAATCTCTCATATTCTTCTTCATATGCTTCAATGTCAAATCCATCAAAATCTTCTTGAGCATCTTCAAAATCAAGACTGATAATACTAGATACATCATCTTTAAAGATACTCCTATCATCATCAATGTCCTCGTTCAAAGGTTTGATTTCCAACTCAATCTCTCCTGTCTGTAAAAAGCTGAAAGTTTCATCATGGTCTGGTGATCTTGGTGGTGTTGTATGGCTAGAATCTGTAATTGATGAACTTGGAGTTGAACATGGTAAAGTAGAAAATGACGACGTTGACGACATTGATACTAAGGTCATGGTTGAATGTTTCTCTTTCTTATTATTATCTATGACAGGTTCTGGTGTCACCAAAACTTCCAGAGTTGATTCTGATGAATCTTTATTTGATGGATCATATTCCATAGAACTTTCCCCGATCCTGTACATACTTTTTCTCTGTTGCCAATAATTATCATCGTCCATGACTGTGGCGCATAAATCTTTTTCCAAGATTTCATGATAACAAACCAGCCGGCTAAGTTCAAGGCAGGTGTGTTTAAGTCTTTGAGCTACTACCAGAGCAACTTGTATGATACGATCTCGTGTTGTGTTCTTATATGGTATCATTAGAAATAAATTATTCCTGAATCGTACATCTGATTTAAGCTGTGACGTTAACGCTGATATCTTACTTTGAAGCTCATCAATCTTAGACTATAAAGGGGATCAGAAAGTTATGTTAATATATCAGGTTACTTTAATATTTAAAAAATTCTACATATTCTTTGATTTTTCATACCCTTAGCACATTTGCTCTTCCATTAGCGTCATTTGCGTTATTATCATCTGTAAGTCCGAGTTTGTTGGTGAATAAATTTCGTGGGTACTTTTTATCCCTTCTTCGAACGTTGATATTCCTCATTTTCAACCCGACGCTCTTAAACGTCGCAGCATAATTAATTTTTGTTATCCAATCATTCATTTCATTCTCATTTTCGGCTTGGAAAAGATACTGATGACCTTTAGGGCACACAAGACGGAACACGTGTGGATGCTTTTTGTAAGTTCTATCATATACAGCAACTGATTCTGCTGTCATGAGAATAACATCAGGTCTTAAGGTTGGACGCTTTTTCGATTTCTATAATTATTTTTTTTAAAAAAAAAAAAAATTAAAATTTTAACCTCACAAAAGAATTAAAATGTATAACATAAAATACCTCAGAATTATGTAGTTCGGCCATTTGAGTGTTAAACCAAGCCTCATCCTTAAAGAACATTAACTGACTTCCACTTAATATCACACCATATTGTCTCCAACTTCTTACAAACCCACCCTTCTTTTTACCTTCAACCAGGTCCACTTTCCTACCCAATTTACCACCCTTAGTGATTTTAAGAACAAAAGTTCCATCCTCTTCATCTAAAGGTGGCAATGAAGTATTTGTGGGGTTGAAAGTTTCACCATTACGCCGCGTTTGAACCCCTGTAACTCTAATGGTATGTGCACTTGCAAACGCTCGGTGCAATCCTACGGTATCCAATGACGGGTAGGTTCCCATGTAAGAATATGGATTCTCTACAGGAACCAAATGTCTGATTGCGGGCTTAAACTCTGTTGGAATTTTCTTTAAAGGAAAAAAACGGGTATTAAATATAAAGTGTACACACATATATTATTGTTGCTAAAAAAAAACACTGCTTACGGTCTGAATAACTGTGTAAGGATCATTTCTTGTACGCATTGATTTTCGTCGATCTTTTGCCGATGAAAAAATCCTTAACTGTTTATGATCCGCCGGCGATTCAAGTATAGTTTGACCATTTACGTCAATGTCATCATCAGCATATATAAATTGTGTAAATGTGATATTATCATAGAGGATCTGCCAAAAAAAGGGGGCTAAATTTAGCAAACTAATATATATTAAACCCTAATTTTCGTTTTTTTTTTGTTATAAAATACCTCTAAAATTTCAGGGGGTACACCATCAATGCGTGTATTCTTTACAAATTCCTCCTTTGTCATCTTGCGCTTAACGCTCTTGTTGAACGCATCTGTATGAAGCATTAATAAAGAAAATGCAAGGACATATGGGGTATCTACATATGAAAAAAAAACGCGTTAGGAAAAGAGAAAGCCTTAAAATTAAAGTGTCCAAAGATGTTTTGTACCATTCAATATATCCTTCCCACACCATTCATTATTTTCCTTAACCTCCCTCACCTCCATTCAAACTTTTATGATTCAATTAGTTTTTCCAATATTTAAACAAAAATTACATACCCGGAGAAGAAAACAAGTCAGGATTAGAATCAAAATATCTCTTTGCGAAAGATTCCATGACACGATCAATTTGTTGCGTTTCCTTTGGAAGATGACATTCCATCAAAAATTTTCTAGAATAAAGAAGGTTATAAATTTCAATAAGAATAAATAAATCTTATCTTTTTTTTTTTTTTAAAAAAAAAAAAAAAATCCCTACCGTAATGCAATATCAATAGGGTCTTTTTCAAAATCGAAAGCGCTCATGTATTCCTTAAGGACGGACTGATGGAAGGCATCCGATCTGTTGTTGTTATAAAGAAAATAATTTGTTGGTCAGAAATTTCTTTTTTAAAGGCACGAAAACTTTTTTGAAAAATAAACACGTACTTTTTCGCTAGCATGGTAGCAAGCTTTGATTTTGATAAAGTATATTGCATCCTTTCAAGATATTGCTTTGGGGTCTCAGTACTAGACTTATTTTCCAATGGTGTTGTGCTTTTTGGATCCAAATTATTTAAATTAGACATGGATTTTGTGGATAGAAGTAAACTATCATACATTTCATTACTATTATTAATCGACAAATTAGGAATAACAGGAGCCGATTCAATACGTTTAAGATAATGATGAGGTTGCCTTCGAGAATTCAAAGGATCCGAATTGTCAGGGTGAGGAACCTTTTGGAAACCTTTTAGTGTGGGTCTTGCCGAAGGAAAGGGACGCGGTGAATCGGACGATAATGTATTAGATGAAGATGATGAAGTGGGAGAAAATTGTTCAATTTCTTCTTTAATTTTTACGGGATCGGTGGAAGTTTTTGATGAAACTATTGTAATAGACGAAGGATCATTAACGCTTATATTATTATCAAGGGAAACTAAAGCGGGACCAGTCGTTTTTTGAGATGCTAGTTGAGACAAGTTTTTATTGGTACCGTCGTCACTATTACTACCAAGTTTATCTGGTTCAATCGGGGAAAGACTAAAGTCTCCAAAGTCCAGGTAAAGTGGGCCTTGCCCCGGGGAGTTTTTAGCCGATATGGTTGTCGTGGTGACGGTGGTTACCGTAGTCGTGGTGGTCGTCCTTGTAATCTTTGTATTTGAATCTGGCTCAGTTGTTGACGAAGTTGGTGGTGTTGACGATAACGGTGATGGTATTTTCTTTGTCTTTGTAGGTTGTGGTTTTGTATCATAAGGTGATGGTTGAACGATTTTCTCAAAACTTGACGTAAGTTTCTCTAAATTATTACTTGGAGGTATTTGAGAAATTTTGGGACTTTTTATGGAAGTGTTATTTGCTTTACTTGATGGTTTTTTATTGTTTGAAAACATATTAATATAGACCAACAATTAAATCTATACAGAAGTTCGAACGACCACCCTGAAGAAGTCGTCCTGTACAAATGTCAGTCTATAAAAAAAGAAGAAAGAAATCTAATTGGTAATTTCTAAAGTACGAGTAAAGATCAAGGAAATTGGATATTCGGTAAGAGTGGTTGAAAAGTCCAGTTATTCGGGACATAAGCACAAGACACAGTCTTAATAGAAAAGGAAGGGTTGTTATGATTTCTTGAGCGCCGCCGACGCCAAGGGGAAATAAAAAAAAAAAAAAAAAAATGATTTTTTATTTTTTTTTTATTCCTAGATAATCAAAGTAGGATCTTAAAAAAAAAAAAGTCTTAAAAAAAAAAAAATTTATGATAGAATGAAAAAAAATGCGAGAAAGGAAAACAAAAAAACTTTTTTTTTTTCGTTTTAATTTTTTTTTTTTTTTTCTTTAATTTTTTGGCGAAAATGGCCGGCGTAATGTACAGAAGGAGAATTACTTTGAATTAAATTTTAGTTGAACTTCTCGACTGGTGAACCGATTTATACATAAACATTACACAACAATGTATTATTGATTTTTGATTGAGTTACAATAAGCATAAAAAATTCTTATGAGAATCTACCGAATTTAGGAAAAACCTTTTATTCTCAATGTATTAATCTGCAAATACGCATTTAACTTGCATTAATGTTGATGAATTCAAAATTAAACACTTAATTTCTCTAAACCACTCGTTTTTATAAGTTTTTTTGGTTCTATTAACAAAGGTTATACTCTATTCTGAAACAGGAGATGTGTGTTAGAAACAAATAAACCATTAAGAACTGTCGTGACTACATATGAACAAAAAAGATTGTTACTTTTTTACGCAGTTGAGAATCATGACACTATTAGATGTCGGTTGAGTTACCTCTCGACATCTCTTTTGAACACGCTTGAACCACGAGGGACAACCCGTGTAAAGGTTAGCCGAAGGAAGGACACCTCATGACGTGTAAAGGATTTTCATATTTTCTTCGACATCAAGTTTATATATGACACATTACCTGATTCGGGTATTCATTGGTCTTAATTATTCCGAACATTTTATTTATATTTCAAAAAAAAAAAAGCGGGAATTGCAAAAACGTGGATTATAGAATAACATAAAAAAAAAAAAGGGGGGGGATAACAAAGAAAAAGATTCGCAAAGATTACTAGTGCTGAATAACAAAATCTCCGTTGATTTGTACAATATGTGAGGTGAGGTAAATCTCGGTTATTTTATAATTCCACTCGCTCATTTAATAATTACATTTAAATTATTTAATTATCGAATTACCATTTAAATTAATGTTCTTGTTAAGGGTTTAATGGTTTGTTTGAATTCGGAAGGTGGAATTTTTAATTTTGGTTAACGCATTTCCTGATAAAGTTACAATCAATGGCAATGTTTTTTTTTTTTTGCATGAATTAATCGTAAATAATAAAGAATTAGGAATTGGACTAAAACTTCTTTTCAAGGTTAGTTTATTTACTAAAAAGGATGATACAATAATAACTATTTAACACGTTGCACGAAAATACAAGAGCGGGGATGCAGGGCAAACTTGATCATTTGATGATGATGTTGATTGAAAGTGTTGAATATCGGTGTGATGTCATTGGTGTTGTTACATTGATTGTGATTGTTGATGTCGTTCATTTCATTAACTTATTGTGATTGATTTGGTCATTAACATGCTCATTAACTTCCATAATTATAGAATATCATTTGCTTCCTCTACGCTTAAGAAATCAAAGATTATACATGAAAGAGGGCATTGTTGCATTCTTGACCGTATTTTCCGTATGTTCATGTATGCAACGCTTCAAAAAGCCATCAAACCGACCAAGACGATCAAGATAGCAAACAATCTCTTTCCATCCAAAGTTACAGAATATCCCTTATTGACAAAATTTCTGTGAATATCCTCTGTTATGGTTCCAAATCACACCACATTTATTGATGACCTAAAAAGCTCACCATACGGTTGATTACATATAATCATTGTCCAATTGTAAAGGCCTAGTATACAAAATATTTTTCTACTTTCGATTTGATAATAATGCTGTTGCCATGTGATGTGTATAGTAGCTAATCTTCAGATTTCAAACCATGACAAAATTTTTGGGATATCGCAAAATAAAAAAAGTTGGTCCAAAGGCGAAGGAAATAACAAAGTCATTGAATAGTAGTAACAATATTAAAAGATCGATATTATTACAATGCTTATCAAATTGGAAAATCTTAGTTATATTTATCCAAGGGTTGTCTAAATTAAGACATAATATTTAGAATCATTAGAATAATTATTGTTTCAAACTCGGTTAAACAGTTTCAAATTGTTTAAATAGGTTATTCATTTGAATATAAAGAGTAAAGTACATAAAATAGGCTCCCATTTTCAAAAAAAAATGGCAGAATTTTTTCTTTTTTTTTTCTTTTTTAAAAAAAAAAAAAAAAAAAATTTCTCTTCAACATAGATTACTTTACACACATAAATAGATTATCAATCGACCAAACAATTATTCTTTTAATTTTTTGGTTGAATATTCTTTGTCCATTTGATTTATTATTGAAAACAAAGACGTAGGCAGAAGGTTGATCTCATTCCAGATGTTCCAATAGTAATAAAATTCCTTTAAAAACGATTACCCAAAATTTAATTCTTTTGAGTAACAACATTTGTTATTAATTAAATTTCGTAAAATATAAAAGAAAAAAAGATTGGACCAACTTTTAAAAATTCATCACTTTTTAACGTTCAATTCCCCCCTTCCCCCTCCTTTTTCAACATCATTCTCTTAAGATTATTAAAATATGGCCAAAAAAAGGTGCCAAAAATCCGTTTCCCCCTCCTTTTTCAAAAAATCATTGTCATTCATAATAAAACCAATTCCAATGACAATTCTAATTTTTTTATTATGTCGATATATATGTGCTGGACCATTCCTACCATTATCATGTCAACTGTTTTCATTAAATTGTCCAAAGGCCAGCGATACACTTCATGGATTTGTAGAAGCGGAATTTACCGAGATTAAAAATATCTTTAGCAAGAATATTGAAAGTGGATTGGAAATAGGTGCAAGTGTTTCGATTTATTATGAGAATAAGTTGGTAGTAGATTTAATGGGAGGTTTCGCGGATTGGGATACCGGAAAACCTTACGATGAGAATACTTTACAATTAACGTTCAGCAGCGTAAAGGTATTGACAAGTTTTGTGGTTGCCAGATTAGTCGAACAAGGAATTCTTGATTATGATGAGAAAATTTCCACTTATTGGCCAGAATTCGCCCAAGGTAATAAGGAAAATGTTACATTAGAACATTTAATGACACATCGTGCAGGAGTTGGATGGTTCGATAATCACTTAACAAAAGTCGCGGAACTTCATGATTTAGATTCGTTCGCAAAAGTTCTTGAATCTCAGCCACATAATTTCGGAGGAGTTCCTACCATGTCATATCATGCATGTACGAGAGGATATTATTTGAACGAAATTGTACGTCGCATGGATCCAAAGCATCGTACAATCGGACAAATCGTTCGAGAGGAAATCATGCCCCAGTATAATATCGAATATTATTATTACACCTCCGAAGATCTATACAAGTCTCGCGTAGCACAAATTTATTCTTATCCTGTTCCAAGGGTTTTAGCCAAATTAATCTTACCTGGATTCATGTTCACCAATCCAGTACACCCATTGTTTTTCGAGATGATTGCTCCCGGAACAAAAACTCACAAAACGTTAGTAAATTCATGCCCGAATCAGGCTCAACCCAAAGATTGGAATAAATTAGAAATGGTTAAGCCAGAAGGTCCATCATATAATGGCATAACAAATTCCCGCAGTATGGCAAAATTAGCTGCCATGATGGCGAATCATGGTAAACCAATTCCAGGCGATAAAGTTGAACCTATATTATTAAAAGATGAAACCTTAGAAAAATTCCTTGAAAGAACCCACTCAACATATGATCAATCTTTATTAGAAGAGTTTACCATGTCCAAAGGTGGAATTGGATTTTTCCGTTTACCAGGTCTTGAAGATTATGAATTTCTAGGTTGGGGAGGTTCCGGTGGGAGTTTATTATTATGGAACGAGGAATTAAAAATTGGATTCGCTTATTGTATGAATGCCTTTCACACTTCTTTACTAGGTGATGAAAGAAGTTTGGCCATGCTCAAAGAAACTGTACGCACTGTTTTACGGTTAAAAAATAATAATCACTTTAGAGGTTAATAATATATTATACACTATCAATTTTTTTATATTCACATTTGTATATTATTTTTGCACTTCCTTTTAATATTTTACGAATGAATTTTATTACTCCCTTTTTTATAAGAAAAAAAAAAAAGCGTTAAAGATAACGTTAATGTTTTCTGTGACTTGAATTAATGTCTGGATTACAATTTCCTTCAGCTAAAGTTGTAGGATAATATATATATATATACAGTATATAATACCGGAAGAATTTAAAATAAAAAAAAAATATCTTTGAAATATAAATATTATTTTTGTGTATAAAAATATTTCTACTTCCACTTTTTCTAATATTATACATGATCCTAGCATGGGTCATAAATTCTTATATTTTAGTTTTTAAGTAATAACAATGGTAAAAATTCATTCGTGCAAAAACGAAGTAATGGATCGATCGAATTTATCAAGCAATATTCGCTGCGTATTTATACTACAAGTCATGATAGTAATGCCTCCTTTGAGTACTTTTCTCGATACTCTCAATGTCCATCATAATATAAGGATTGGACGTTAGCGTTAATGTTTTACATGAGGCTACAATAACGCATTAACTAAATCCGATAGAAAACTTTCATCTATTTGTCGTTTGATTCTTGATTCTCTTGGCCTTTTCCTCATGCTTCTACCAATGCTTTGGTACTGGAAACATTTATCATTTTAGCCCTTGCAAAAAAAGCTGTAAAGTGCTAATTTTAAATGCAACAAATAAGTATCGAATATCCATGGGGTTATTCGTACAAAAATCAAAAAGTTATTCTATCATAATGTATAAGATAAAATTAACACTTCTTTTTATTGTATTTTATAGATTTGATTTTGTTATTGAAAATAAACATATCACAACCAATAAATCGAGAATAATACTATTGTAGAATATTGGTTAGAATATATTGTCAAAAACTTTAGTCATTTCGCGCGTAAAACTGTCACTGTGCGCCACAATTAATGAAATGGCATTACGGCATTCGGCTGGAATTACTTGTGGCACTCATGTGCAGTGTTGGCTTTTTGGACTAATGGACTATTGGATCATTGGACTATTGGACTAATGGACTTAGTCCATTCCAATTCCATTAAAAATTTGGACTATTAGACTATAGACTTCGTCCAACAACTATAAATTTACATATAATTTTAGCAATATATTCATGATAGTAGTAATTAATAAAATGTATATTATGTAAATTATTTTTATTTGATATTTGTTAGAACTTTATTAAATTTACTTATTATCACTTAATATAAAATTTGACAAATAATTAGGCTTCCCTAACCTCTTAATATAAATATCTAGATATTTTCATTTAAAATTTTGATTTCTAGTAGAATGAGATAAATTTGAAATGTTTGTAATATTAATTTCAAGTTCTTTATTATCTAAAAAATCAAGATTAGATCAGTAAAATCATTCTAGTTGAATGAATTTATTATCGTTCATTCAAGCAGAATAAATTTATTATCGTTCATTCAAGCAGAATGAATTTATTATCGTTCATTCAAGCAGAATGATTTTATTATCATTCAAATTTTTAAGTTAGGCTAGCATTATAAATTTGGTCAGAATTATAATATATAAAATTATAATTTTGACCAAAATTATATAATTATAGTCCATTTGAATTGGAATTGGACTGGATATCTCCATTAGATCTAAAGTCCATTGGAAATTGAATAAAGTCCAATTTCAATACTGTTTATGTGATAGAACAAAAAATATTCTTTAATGAGAAATTTATATCACAATTAATATAAAGTTCTCTTTTTTATTTTTCTTATTTCTAAAATAAATTTTTTTAAAAAACCTTTTAATTATTAATATTAAATATTCTAATAATAAAAAAAAAATAAAATAATAAAGTAAAATTTTGTTTAACTATTAAAAAAAATTTAAAAAATAAATATAAATTAAACTAAAAGTATGTTTAATAATTTTATATCAATAAATTTACTTAATTATGATTAAAAAATCAGTATACTAGTCATTAAATTACAGTTAGCTCTTTCTATAATCACACATTTGAGATAAGCTATATTAGATGATTATAAAGAGAAATGACTATAAAAAAAATTTAATAACATTTTAATATTATCAAGAAATAATATATATTTATTAATTATTATTTTATTATTGTTATTATATGGACTCTTTATAATAGAAAGGGAGAAAACTACCAAAAAAATTTTTTTTTGCTTTATAAGCTAAATATTATTTTTTTATTAAAATAAGTTCAGATTTAATATTAACTCAAAAAATATTTTTTTGGTAGTTTCCTCCTTTTCTATTGCAAAGAACCTATATATATGAATTATATTAAAAAAAATAATAAAATTATACTAATTAAATAAAAAAAATAATTTTTAATTAATTTTATTATAAAGATACACTATAACACATTTTTAAATCTAAAGAGTAATACCTAAAATTTAAATAATACCTTTAGAATTAATACTTTTTCATTATTAGTGTCATTTTTTGCAATTATATCTTTATCATCTTATATAAGGTTAATAATTTGTTAATAATCTAAAGTTTTTTTAATAAGTGAAGAAGTATCATTATATATATAAGCTATTAAATCATTATAAATTTTATTAATTAAATATATATTAAAAATTTTGTCAAATATATCTGATCTTGATTATAAAATAACTTGTTTATCTTAAATTAATTCAAAATTAACAATTTTAATTTATTCTAACAGTTATGTATAGTTAGTTTTTTTACATTTTTCTAAGCCTCAATAATAAAATTAATTGTTTATTTAATATTCAATTTATTTCTATATTTAAAATTTTATTAATTTTATAAATAATAAATAAACAAATAAAATAATAAAAATAATAAAAATAAAATTACATATTTATGTATAATGAAATATCAAAAATCACTAGGCATTTAAAAATTAGAAAATTGATAACAGAAGCTATTTCAAATTAAACATTTTATTTTATTAATTAATTGCTGATTCATGAATAAATCAGAACATATGATCTACATTTAATAATAAATCATAGGGTTAATTAATCATAGTAAACTGATTTTTTTTCTAAATCTCTATTTCTACTCTAATTAAATCTTTCTTAATAATTATTGACAAATATAAAAGATAACTTTTAACCATTGGTGATATTGTTAAAACATTGCATTATGGTATTTTTACGATAAATTAGTAGATTTTTATTAAAAAAATATCAGAAGAAAAATAACTTTGTATTCTTGTACACGTTAATATGAGAATAAAACTTAAACTTAATAAAGTAGAGATTGTTATTTATGTTATTAAGCAGGGTAATAATAATTATCAATCTGATTATGTGTATGAATCTAATGAAACTGCAAAAATCTACTCAACTCCTTCAGCAGCAATTAATAAAATTTACAAAAAACTTTTCAATACGCAAACACAATATTCAGGGTTATTAGTTATGAGTTTTGATAATGAAAAAATATTTGAAGAACTCTGAGCTGATGTCTTATTTTTTTCCTTTAAAATCAATATTTATAATATTACAGTTTTTATTTTTGCATTAGGCAATTCTACTATTAAAAGGTTAAACTTTGTGAGACCTGGATATTAATCATCATTTTCATACAAATTTCATGAAAAATAATCTTTAATAGTTCAATCAATTCTTAAAACTAAATATCAAATAGATATATATCAATAAATAGAAAAAATTCAAATTTATATTAGCGTATTACTAATAGATATCTAATCAAAGCTCAATATTCTTAATAATATTGATAGAAAAGATTTATTTGATATTAACAATCAATATATAATTGTAACAATTTAAAATTATATTGATAAGTCATTATACTATGTAACTGAATGAAACAATGATCAGATTATGAATTGTATTTTTGAATAATACTTAAAAAGAAAAATTTCGATCACTAGATTAAATTGGAATCATTTTTTTATCAAATAAAAATAACAATCATTAAATATTATTGAACTTTTCTCTCACTTAACATAAATATATCTGAAAATTATAAATTTATTAATTATAAATTATGAGTATAGAGAAGTATGATATGAAAGTAAATTGTATAAATATTACACTTTTTACTAAAAAGGAATTATCAGTTAGTATTTAATATTAAAATTGTTCAATAATTTATTCAAATTATTCATATTTTATTAATTTGAATTTTGGATATTTTCTTCAGATTTTTTAAATGATAAAGTGTTAATTTCTTATTTATATAAAGAAAATTTACTAAATAGTGCTCTGTATAATCCACTTGAATCTGATATCAAAATTGAAAATTTGAAGATGTAAAATATTAATAACAAATTCTGAAAGAATTTTAATAAATCTATACAAATAAATAAATGTAAATATAATAGAAAAGTAAGAATTTTATCAGTTATTACAAACAAATTTGAACATCAAGAAATTCAAGAAAAATTTAAGGTAAAATTTCTAATAAAATTTAGAAGTTTGAATATTGTATATAGTGATAGAAAATATATGATTTTGAATAAATGCAATTTCAGATTTAGATATATAATAAAGTTTATGTATAAAATATTACAAATTTTATAAAATACAAAAAAAAATAAATAAATAATAATAATTTATTACTGTGTTTAATAGATTCAAATAATTTTATAAATGTTATTAAAAAATATATACATATTAATAGGCCTAGATGTATCGTAATATCTAAACCTATTATTACTAAAAGTCAAGTATTAGAAATACAAAATCAAGAATTTGAAGCTTTTTTTACTAATAAAGATAATATAACTATTATAACAGAATTGGATTAACGAACGTGGCACAATATATTACAGATCTAAATGTTGGACATATTTGATATATTTGATATAATTAATATCTTTGATATATTAGACATATTAGATATATTTGATTTATTTGTTATATCTGTTTATATATTAATTTAATATAAATAGAAAGTGATAAAATCATGTAAACTTAAGTCCGCTTTTAGTTCACTTTTAGTTTTTCCTTAAGTTTTGCTTTTAGATACACATCTAGTAGTTTTTGTGAAGATGCCTGGCCTAACATTTTATTTCGAATATTAACTCTTTTAATTTCTTTTATTTTTTCTTAATTTCTTATTTCATATATTATTATTATCTTATTTCTTATTTTTATTATTTATCGTCAATAAACATATTATTATACATCTGAATTAATTGAGCTACCTTGCTTTTAGTCTTGTTAAAAGTTCACTGCTGTATAAATTATAAACTTGAATTAAAACTGAGATTAAGTCGCTATGTAAACTTAAAAGAATCACCATCTGAATACCCTGTCTAACTGTTGCAATTCATAAGGATTATATGTTAACACTATGAGCTCATATAAGGTAGATTCAAAAATCAATCTTCTACTTCTTTATCTTAAGCACTTTAGGATAAATTTGAAATCAGATATCCAGTTAGAATTAAATAAATATCATTTATGACATATTTAGCTAATAAAAGATATATTTATTGTGAAGATTTAAGTAGTCTCTA